TAGAAGCACGAAGCCGAAAATACCAGCCTGAAGATGACGAATGAGACTTCGTCGAAACGTCGCCAAGACACTTCCAATTTTACGTGGGAGAAAACCCGAATAACCAAAGAAATACACACACACACACACACACACACACACATGTATGTATGTATGTATATACATGTATGTGTGTATATATGTATGTGTGTGTGTGTATGTGTGTGTATATATATATATATATATATATATATATATATATATATATATATATATAATTATTATTAAGAATATTAAAAACAAAACAGTGATTCCTGGGTAGACTCATATCAAACAATAAAATATACGAACACCAGGAAGTTATAAAACTATAAAAAGTTTTAATAAAACCAGAATAAAACCAAGCTTTCGCTGGCATCTGCCAGCATCATCAGGGTGGTCTCCAGTCGATGGGAGAAGCTATTTATAAGTGTGGCGTTCTTTGCACCCGGCTTCTTGACCTCGTCATGGGTCCCAGCCAATCCACCTGCGTTTTGATCGTAGTTTCTGTGTTACAAGCTGTAACACAGCGACACCGCAATGGCCAGATTTTATGGCCTTCCTAAGGTCCATAAGGAGGGGGTCCCCCTTGCCCGATTGTGGCATTTAGGGACACTCCGACCTCAGGCCTTGCCAAATGGCTGAGTAATCGCATCAACCATTTGGTTGAGGGTGGTTCCACTACTGTCAAATCTGCTGAGGATTTCCTTGACAGGATCAGGTCTTTGAGGATAGAGGATGATGAGGTGATGATATCTTTTGATGTCGTCTCCCTCTTCACCTCTATCCCACAAGATCTGGCCATCAAGATGATAAAAGACCTTCTCGAGAAAAAAGGTTTAGGTCACCAGCAGGACCACCTTCGGCCTCAGGACCTCATAAATCTATTAGAAGTATGTTTAAAAACATACTTCACATTCCAGGGCACTACCTTTGAGCAGGTTAAGGGCACCCCCATGGGGTCACCAATATCCAGCATCATAGCAGAGGCAGTGCTGCAGCAATTGGAGCACGTAGCGATGACCCAGTGTTGTCCTAAATTCTGGGCTCGCTACGTAGACGATACATTTGTCATCATCAAGAGGAGCAAAAAGGCTGGCTTTGTGGGCATACTCAATTCGGTGTGCGTGGATTTGCAGTTTACGGAAGAGGAAGAGCACCAGGGTGAGTTGGCATTTCTCGATGTCCTGGTCCACTGCCAACCTAATGGAACCCTGAAGACCAGGGTCTACCGCAAGTCCACGCATACAGATAGAATTCTACACTACGATAGCAACCATCCAGTGGCCCACAAGGCCAGCTGTATTAGAACACTCTTCAAGAGAGTAGGCTCCCACTGCAGCACTGCCAAGGCTAGGACGGAAGAAAAGAAGCATCTTTTTAAGGTGTGCAGGCACAATGGTTACCCTATGAAGTTCATCAGGCGCCATGGACTATCATCCAGACCCTCCCTCCCCATCAGGTCCCATACAGAAGAACATACATCACAGAGACTTCGTATCACTCTCCCGTATATCAACACCATCTCAGAAGCCATGGCTAGGATATTGGCACCCTATGATGTGAGGGTGGCACATAACCCCAACCAGACCCTGCGATCTAAGGTGATGAGATTGAAAGATCCACTCCCCACCATAGAGAAGTCCAATGTCATTTACAGGATCAACTGTGAAGGTTGCTCTGCTAACTACGTGGGGGAGACCTCCAAACGTGTCAAAACTAGAATTCACGAGCATAAGTTGGTGGTAAGGAGAGGCGACCAGTATTCCCAAATCGGGGCGCATATGCTAGAATCTGGGCATAGGTTCGATTTCAGCAACGTGCAGGTGATGGCCAGTGACAGCACGAAGGGGGGCCGGCTCCTTAAAGAGGCGTGGCTCTCTAACGAAGAAGACATGTGGACCTATGCCCAGCACATGTAATATTAAGAGCATGGGCAATGCGTGACCGTCCCTCCGGAGAAAAACAATGTAACATTACGTGCCTTCGGCAAAGAGGGTTGACGGAGGAGACGGGCCTTGGAAACACCCAGACAGGGAATAACCAGCAGCAGAGTAACTCTCCACCTGCTGAAACATATCCCCCTCCCTCATGGATACAGGAGTGGATTGACAACCAAGAGCCAAGTGCCGATGAATTGAGGGTCTCCCCGGGAACAGCGAGGAGTTTGACAAAAAAGCGATCTGGTATAGATTTTGGGTTATTAAACAATCATGATTCGAAGGATTGGAGTGCCACGTGTAATTCCACCAGCGATCCTGCAACTAACTTTATTAATGACATTTCCCATTTGAATTGTTATTGCCTTGGGAACGCAGGAGAACAACGGGGAGATGAGAAGCCTGTTCGCTATAATCTTAGAGCTTCCACACGCTCCTACAGACATTTGAGAGGTACGACTCCCCGTAGGAATGCACAAGGAGATGCAAGTCATGACTGTAAGGATTCCGCCCCTCTCCTTTTAAGGAAGATTGCATACCCCCAAGTAATGAGTGAACACACGAATAACAGTGAAGGGACAGCCCCCTTGGAAAAAGGGGTCAGCAATCAATTTGTGGGTGCCACGAATTCTGGAGAGGGTGTTAAAATCACCCCCATTGAAGAGAAAATAGAAAGGGGAGTTAATAAAGTGATACGAAGGATCGGGAAACAGGATGATGTAAAGACAATGGAATCATGGGCTACAGAGACAAACAATGAGGGTATAGTTTTGAAAGAGGATCGTAATCAGAGAAACAGGGGGAGGAGAAGAGAAATAGAGAGTACCAAGAAGGAGGATGAGGTGAATAAACAACATAAACACAGACAGTGCACATCTAATTACGTGGAATTAAGGAGTCCCCCCGACTTACAGTTATGCAAAGAAGGGAGGAAGAGCTGCCGTACCAGCACAAGTAAGGAAAGTGAGGGAATTACAGCTTGCAACACAGAAACTACGATCAAAACGCAGGTGGATTGGCTGGGACCCATGATGAGGTCAAGAAGCCGGGCGCAAAGAACGCCACACTTATAAATAGCTTCTCCCATCGACTGGAGACTACCCTGATGATGCTGGCAGATGCCAGCTAAAACTTTTTATAGTTTTATAACTTCCTGGTGTTCGTATATTTTATTGTTTAATATATATATATATATATATATATATATATATATATATATATATATATATATGTATGTTTTCTGAGGTTTTCGCGGGTATTTGTATAGAGGGAAGGAGCTCAGGGTAGTTCTTACAGTGCAACTGAACTCCTGTAGGCCTCATTTTAACCAGGATGAAAGGAAAGCATCCAAGCCTTCCAAATCTAGCATTTCAGATGTGTCAGACCAGGCATGTCAAACACATGCAGCCCATGCAGGCCATGGCCACCCCGGCTTCACAAGGGCAAAAATATCCCAATACTTCACGATATGGCCCGTGAAGCAATCAGGCCTGACACCCCTGTGTTAGACCATGGGTGTCCAACCATTCGGCTGATGTGGGCAGCAATGAGTGAAGAGAAATTATTTTGAGCCTCATATAAAATATATAATGCAATTAATGTATATATATAAAACAAACTTCCTTTTAGTTTTTATATTTTTATTACATTCTTGTGTTGCATTACTTGTTGTCCAGGGCCACATGCAGCCCATGGACCACAGGATTGGTGCACCTATGTTAGACCTCATCATCTATGATTAGGTTAGACTCGCAGGGGTAGGCAACCTTGGCTCTTTTATGACTCGTGGACTTCAGCTCCCAGAATTTCTGGGAATTGAAGTCCACGAGTCATAAAAGAGCCAAGGTTGCCTACCCCCTGGGTTAGAGGCAAAGGAAGCTTTAAGACTATTATACCTTGAAGAAAATGCAAGTACTTATTATTTACCTTCCACACTTACATTTTTGGGTGAGCCTGCATTTAGGGATCTAAGCCCCATATGACTATAAGACTGAATATGACTAGCTTATATCATCTCAGTTTAATAAAGAAGACAGCATTGACTGATTATGTCCAATTAAGTCAGTGTCAACTCTTAGTCATCATAGTTTTTTTTCTGAGACAAAGGCAAACATACATGAATCTTTAGAAGTATCTTTACAATAAAATATCAGTCACAAGACAATTTTAGCCATACATTTCTGGGTGTGATAAAAATGGAGTTTTGTTAAAATAAAAAGTTTTTTGTATTGTTTTCTTCCTTGCTTAATGATTAGTATTGTTTTGTTTTACTTAACAATATTCTATTTCTTTGATGGAAGTGATGTTCTTTTAGAGATTAGGATTGCCTATGTCTATCTGTTTATCAATTCATATCTTGGTTGATAAGTAAAGGTTACAGAAGCTTCACAAATTGTCAGCAATCTTCTGTCCCAAGCTGTTATTACTGAAAAGATCCTGGAATTTCCATGTGCTCATTGAACAGAGAACACAGAAAGTATGGCATTTTAACATTTTTGTATCTAAGAAAGAACATCAGATGAAAGAAAAAAAAGTAGCCATTTTAGTGAGGGAAAGGGAAAGAAAAAAAGTACCCCCTTTTGGCCCCTTTTTGTAGCTATGTCACAGCCTGCATTGGTCTGAGTCTCATTGTGTTGGACACAGCATTTGAAGTGGTAGGGAAGCCTGGAGAGAGAAGAAACAAAGGCTTTCTATGAGGAAACAATCAACCCTCCTTATTTCCAAGGCTTTCCATTTGTATTAAGAGTTGCCTGTCCTCCATCATACCGTAAAATAAAAATGTTATTGACCAGCTTGATGGGACAATCCTTAAAATTCATAAATGAACATTTTTTCAAATTATAACTGGCCAAATCACAATGACAAGGGTGCACAAATTGGTTTTAAATGTTTTATTTAAACGCATGTTTCAACATTTGAAGATTGTATCTGTATTGCAATCTATGCTCTACACGCATCGGTTTCTGATTGTATATCTAAGGTGGCCTTTGAATGAAATACTGTAGTTATCTTAGAAATGTTTTGTTTGTTTACTTAAATTAGACTGACCGGTTGCTCATCAAAGGAGGAAAGATTGTCAATGATGATCAATCATTTTATGCAGATATCTTTGTGGAAGATGGTTTGATTAAGTAAGTTGGTGATTTGATTACATATTTTTGCTTTAAAAAGTTGTATAATACACAACAAACAGTTGCATGCTTTAAGTCTGTGTTGATATTTTTATATGAAAATAATACATGCAGAACTATTGTCTATAATAGCCTTCCCGAACCATTACTCCCATTGGTCCAACTGGCAGGAATCCTAAGAGTTAATAGTCCAGATACATTTGGAAGTCATCAGGTTGAAGAAAGCTAGTAGATATTTGCATATGGGGAACTCTAGATCAAAATTAATTTTAAGGTATTTTATTTTGAATAAATTAGTTTATAGTTTAGATTACAACTATATTTCACTTGAACATGAAACAGTATGTTTACAGTTTATCTGAATAGAGTGATTTGACCTGATGTTCCACATTCCCCACTATTTTCTACCATATCTATATGTAAACTAAAGTTTAGAAGAGCAACATATTGACCTCAAAAGAAACATACAGTATCTATACCTTTGATGGAAATGTATTTTCAAGGTGGCACTTTTTCACTTTCTCTATGTAGAGCTGTATAATTGTGAATGTGAGACGTTTCTATGTTAAAAATGTCTCTTAATCATAAAAAAAGATAACTAAACGCAACACTGAATATCAGAAGTATAATTTACTGAATTAAACCTCATTTTTTCATTGCATTTAGTGGAACAAGTCATTATTAGCTTGTTCCATCAATTTCAGCACATTTCAGTTATGCTAAATATAGCAACTGAATATCTTTGAAGGCTTGCTTCCCTTGAATGAAATTATTAAAGTGTAGGTTTTAATATCATTTTCAGGCAAATTGGAGAAAACCTGATAGTTCCTGGAGGTGTGAAAACAATTGATGCTTATGGCCAGTTAGTTATGCCAGGTGGAATAGATGTCCACACTAGATTACAGATGCCTTTGATGGGAATGACCTCTGCTGATGACTTTTACCAAGGCACAAAAGCAGCTCTTGCAGGAGGAACCACCATGATACGTATGTAGTCATTTTGTCTTGTACTTGTCCTGCTCTAGATGGAACAATTACACAGTAGCAAATTTGCAACTGGTTTAGTGATGGGGCTGTAATTCATACAACCAACAAGACAGCTACACTTAGCAGTCATATAAAACTTGCACAAGAAATGTAGGAAAGGTGAGGTAGAGTGACTCAGAGCTGGGCAGCATACAAGTTTAATAAATTGTTATTGTATCAGAGTCAAGCTGCAATGTTGGTGGTGCCAATGGATTGAAACAGATTTTAGAAGTCTACAGCTAGAGGTTCACAATGTCTAGTCCAGAGTTGTAGCCATAAAAGATAGAGGGCAGGTTTAGAAAGGAAGCCAACAACATGTAGGTTTGGGAAAAATTGCGTACGGCAATGACATAAAGCAAAATTTGTCCTGTCAATCCCAGAATTCAGACACCACAGATTGGTTCAAGTCATCAATCCTGGAATCTGAGAACAAAGCAAGGAGTCGGGAATACAAGTCTGGTGTTGGAAGGCTGCTTCTGGTGAAAAGCAACCAAGCTATTCCGATGTAGCCCCAGCAGCATCTTAGGGGGAAACTCCTTGGTTCCTAAGTAGTAGAGCAGATCAATTTCATTCTGTCCTTCAAAACTACCAGTGTGTTCTAAGGCTAGGCAACCTGCCAAGTTCTGCATCTGTCGTCACCTGCTCTTGCTCATTGTCTCCTTGATCAGCCCTAGCCTTTAAGGCTGGCCATTCATCTATTCAGAGCAGACCGTAATAGAATTGTATACAACCCTTTGTTTAAAAAAAAAAATGAAAGGAAACTTGGAAACCAAAGAGCTGTTTCCCCTTCATGTCAAATTAGGAAGCTGCAACTTAATGTGTTTTAGGTTATTCAGATATGTTGAATAAAACATGTTATGTGATCTGAGGGAAAACCACAACAGAGTAACTTTTTGACCTTCCTACAGCAATCACTGGGGTAAAGGTTTTGCCCATGCAGCAAAGTGGCTACTAAAACCATGAAACACATTTCATTATATTGCCCATTTCACTTTTAAGTAAATTTCCCAGTCATTCTGACCAGCTTTACTTATACTTTTAACTTGCAAATAATATTGACCCTGTTATTCAAAGTATAACTAGTGTTATATGCAAAATGCACAGTCAAATAATAGGCTCAGATAATTTCATAATTTTCGTTTATCCATATATCTGTAACCTGTTTTATATTAGTGAGTTTTATATGTTTCAATTTCTGATCCCAGTAAAGATTTTCCTTCTCTTCTAAGTTGAGCAAATTCAGATAAAGTTCAACACTCAATAATAAAAGGGGTATAATGCCCTTACACTGCACACTGAAGCATTTATATCACCACATACCTATAGATTACCTATACAGGTAGTCCTCGACTTACGACTAAAATTGAGCCCAACATTTGTTAAAGTGGGTTTTGCCCCATTTTATGAATTTTTCTTTGGCACAGTTATTAGGTGAATCCCTGAAGTTGTTACGATAGTAACACAGTTGTTAAGTGAAATGGGCTTCCCCCGTTGATTTTGCTTGTTAGAAGGTGATCACATGACCCGGGACACTGCAACCGTCATAAATATGAGTCAGTTGCCAAGCATCTGAATTTTGATCACATGACCATGGGGATGGTACAACGGTCATAAATGTGAAAAACTATCATGTCACTTTTTTCAAACCCATTGTAACCTCGAATGGTCACTAAATGAACTGTTGTAGAATTAAACACTCATATTGTTTAATTGTTGTAGAATTAAAACATTCATAGTCTCGTGTCACTCTAATTCTTGAGATACCGCTGCAGTTTTGTTTTTGCTAAAAGTTGCAAACAGCTTCTGATGCCCTCGTATAATCAACACATTTAGATTATTCTGAATATAGTTATACATATTTCAAAGTTTTGGCAATGCTTTGTTCTTTAAAATGAAAAGCATTCATTAGATTCTGGGCAATTAAGTCCTTTTAATGTCAATTAACAAAAATTATTTGTTTCTCAAGTTGATCACGTATTCCCTGAATCTGGAACAAACCTCCTGATAGCCTATGATCAGTGGAAGGAAAGTGCTGATAGTAAAGCCTGCTGTGACTATTCTCTGCACATTGACATCACACGTTGGCATGAGAGTATAAAAGAAGAGCTGGAAGCTCTTGTCAAAGACAAAGGTAAGAAAGGAAACTAAGTTTTGCATGAACAACTACGTGTACAGTAACTATGGCCCTTGTAACTTTCTACCTGCAAATATTATCTCAAGCAAAATAGACAGGATATGCTCACTGTGATATGTGGTAAGGGGAGTTGTCCTCTTAAGCCACATCTGGAGAACATCAAATTGAGGAAGGCTCTCCAAACAAGTGGTGCTTCTGTCGCTCAATTTCCTTCCTATGTGTTGGATTTGATTCTAATAATACAGGATTGTAAATATCTCAAAATAATTTTATTCTGTTATGGTATAATTCTACATTTACATTCCTGAATCCGTTGGAGCTTACTTCCAAGTAAGTTGTATGGGATTGCTGCTTTAGAGAATTATATTTCCATTGAGTAGATAGACCGTACTTAGAAACTTCCCCTGAGTTCTAAAGCCCTGCTGGTTGTGAAATGTCCAGACAGAAATAAAATGCAGCAGGATCCATAGGTGTTCACGTGTATTTATTTTGTCAATGTTCATGGAGGAAAAGGAAGCTTCCGATCCAACACTGCACACACTAATGATGATGATATGATAATGATGATGATGGAAGAGACCTTGGAGGTCATCTAGTCTAACCTCCCCCCCTGCTCAGGCAGGAAACCCTATATCATTTTGGACAAATGGTGTCCAATCTCTTAAAAACTTCCAGTGTTGGAGCATTCACGGCTTCTGGAGGCAGGTTGTTCCACTGATTAATTGTTCTAACTATCAGGAAGTTTCTCCTTAGTTCTAGGTTGCTTCTCTCCTTGATTAGTTTCCATCCGTTGCTTCTTGTCCTGCCTTCAGGCGCCTTGGAGAACAGCTTGACTCCCTCTTCTTTGTGGCAACCCCTGAGATATTGGAACACTGCTATCATGTCCCCCCTCGTCCTTCTCTTCATTTTGTTCACTGCCCCCTGCTCTACCGTAGTTTGAGGGCCCTGCAAGCTTGGAATTCCTGATCTCAGAAAGAAGTGGGTAGTTTGTATCAGATTTTCCCCTCTGAGATTGAAGAAAGGCATCTGATATATTTTGGGGTGTTTTAAACTTTATCAGAGTACCACCAGATTGCAACCTAAATGCTTATTTATTATAACATTGGTTGATATTTTTTTTAAAAAAAATAGCCATTTTTTCTAAGTAAAATTTCAGAAAACATGACTTGATGCATAAGTGGTTATGTTGCTGCTGGAATGCTCAAGGCCAGTTCTGAAGAGGGGTGAAGGTATCTGCTTTGGCTGATTTCGGAGGACAACTTTGGCTATCATTTAACACAGATTATCTAAAGGACTAAAAAAATAACAGATTTCCTTAGAAGCTTTTCTGATGAGCACCTTCTAGGGAAAACCCAAATACACCATTTTCCTTGTTACTACTGGTGGAATGATTGCTGTAAGAAAGCTGAAATTATTTACATACATATACACCCTTAAATAAAAATCATTCTATTGTAGCAGTACCAATAATAGTTAAATTGCCAATGTGAATTTTTTTCTAAGTGAACAATTTGATAAATAGAAACATAGTCATGAGCATTGATTCTGTTTCATTGTTTTTTAAATAAAGTCTTATGTTTTTATCATCTCTGAATATAAATAGCCCAACTTTGTAACTTAAAAACTGTTGTTCTTATTTCAGTTGCAATCAGTAACTCACTTTTGTTTTTGTTAAGGTGTGAACTCTTTTCTTGTTTTCATGTCCTATAAAGACAAACTCCAGTGCACTGATGCTCAGGTAATTAAAGATAATAGAAGCACACAATTTTTAATGATAGTATAGAAATGGAAACTATTTCATTTTAGGACTTGTTTTTCTCTCTTTCTTGGCAGATGTATGAAATATTCAGTCTTATTCGCGAAATGGGTGCCATTGCCCAAGTCCATGCAGAAAATGGAGACATCATTGATGAGGTAGGAAAAGTTGCACTCCATGTTAGACCTTTTTAGTTTAAAAAGGAAACAAGACAGTGCAGATACATTCCCCCTTAATTCTAGTGTTCCCTGCAGTTGGTGAGACCTGGCTAATGAGTTCACCCTTTTGAGTTTTTAATTGAAAGCTTCCCACACGTTCAGCTGAATCCCTAAGAAAGTCTGTTGCTTTAGATATTAATATTTGTCTGATAAATACACGCATCACCAAGGTCAACACTCATTAGCATATATTAGCTCTGTAATTATTTCAGTTATCCTTGTTGTACTTTGGAATGTGATAGGGAGTCCCATATTAATATTGCAGATGATATCATTTGTGTTGCTTATTTGCTTATTGTCATGAAACAGAAAAAGCCTATCATGAATAGTGACAATACAGTGAAGGAAAAGAACTCTAAATTATACTGATTAAGCATAACTCCCCCCAATTAATAAAAACAAAAGTTCTATATAGGTATACCAGGTAGTCCTGGACTTAAGACCATTGGTTCAACAACTGTTCAAAGTTACAACAGCCTCAGAAAAGGTGACTTACGACTTTTACTTCCACTTACCACCATTACATCACCCCACTGTCATGTGATCATAGTTTGAGCACTTGGCCACTAGCTTGCATTTACGACTGCTTGCCATGCCTGATGGTCACATGATCATCATCTGTGACCATTTTTGCTGATTTCTAACCAAAAAAAAAAAGCCCATTTGGGACACTGGCTTTGTTTAACAGTTCTGTAATTTACTTAATGGCTGGTTGATTCACTTGACAGCCACTGTAAAAATTGTTGTAACATCAGATCTGACTCCACTTACAATTACAATGACTTACGATGGAAATTCCAATCCCTTTTGTGATCATATGTTGAGGACTATCTGTAAATACCCATATGGAATTGATTCAGTTGTTGGACTTATCATTAAATCTGTTCCCTATAGCAACCTGACATGTCATATTCTCATCTATAAAGGATAAAGACTTTTCCAAACCAGGTAACAAATACATATCCTAGGTCCATTCCTTAAAATCAGAAGAGTAACTTTCCAGTTACCTACAAAAACACCAGTAATAGCATTTATAGACACTTTATAAGAAAACTAGGATTCAGTATCTTTCAGTTTCTGACATTTGACTTTCTCCTTTTACATTCCTCTTTTGTTCCTATTCCCTTCTAAGCCTGAGGTCTCCTATTTGCACATGGTGGCGGAAAAAAGCACAGAGGTTTCAGTGGAATTCCCTTAACAGCTTTATGGCAGCTGATAGTTTGGTTCAGATCTGAAGTTATAGCATGAGCTCTCCTTATCATCAATCATAGGGAGAAGATAATGGCCGTAAGGTATTGCTGACATACTTCTGTGCCATGCCTTGCACACAGATCTCAGTTCTTTGCTGATAGACTACAACTATTTGCAGAACTTTTGCTTATATCAACTATTCTCTGAGTGCACATTTTGCCCCATATTCTGATCGATTGTCATTCCTATATTTTTATATGTGCCTTAAGTCTGTATTCATGTCATTTGAAGAGTAGCCTGAAGTTGCCTCCCTCTGCTATGCCTTTTCCTCTGAAGACCCCATCCTTGCACTATAAAAGGGAAAGTAAGGAAATAAAATCCAATCTGTAGGCTTATAATTTGATTTTCAGTTTTTACATTGTTTACTACCAGCCCTCCGAATACCATACGCTGTGCTGCTTTTGAGGGTAGTTCCAAAAAAACAATTTCCCAAGATCTGCAACTTGGTATTCACCCATTTATTGCCTTTAGACAATGCCATTTTCCTAAGAAAACAAAAGTCAGTATCTTCCCCAGACCACTGGGGAATCACTTAGATCAGTGATTCCCAACCTTGGCAACTTGAAGATGTGTGGACTGCAGCTCCCAGAATTCTGAAAGTTGAAGTCCACACATCTTCAAGATGCCAAGGTTGAGAAACACCGCATTAAACTGAAGACAGAAAGATGGACTAGATAATCCTAAAAAGTATTGCCAAACTTTACATGCTAATAGTCCATCTATTCTTTAAGGCATGACATCATCCTTCATGGGTGAATGTGAAATGCCCATTTTTCCCTCTAGGGCTATTTACAGTTTGACAGTGATTTGGATGGAAGTTTCAGGCCTCACCAAGCACCACATGTCTCTGCTATTCATTAAAGCCGCTCCATGGTTTAAGAGTCTCTGAAGGGATGCCTTAAAGCAGCAGTGTTTCTTATCCAGCTTGTGCGGAAGCAAGAAAAATGGTAGCCTATTTTAATGAACGACAGAAGTGTCACCCCTGTGCAAAGTCCAAAGCATTTCTTTTGAATCATTTGTGACACGTTTGCATCTCTATTCTTCAGCTGCTTCCTGAATTTCAGGGACAGTGTTAGATAAACTAAAGACAAGGAATTCAAAAGTTGCACCCATCACTCTTTGTTCTAGATGGAGATAACCAACTTTGAATCTTAAGAGATTTCATAAATCATGGGAATGTTCAACTAATATATCCCCTAATTACATCAACATTTTTAAAAATAGTATGATTTTGTGCTTAATAATAATAGGGCAATTTGCATGGCAGAATGTTTTTGGCTTATATTAGTATTCTTTCATAAATGAGATCAATATTAAACAAAGATATTAGAAAATCAGTAAATTATCTATAATTAATCAGTTTGAGTATATTGGGATTATTATTTAAGAAGGAGATGTCCAAATAATCTGTTTTCCAAAAGGAAACTGACTAGTGTTTCTCAACCTTGACAAGTTTAAGATGGGTAGATTTCAACTCCCAGAATTCTCCAGCCAATAAAATCTCAGAGCAATACAGATGGATCCATTTCCTTTGTAAGCCATCATGAAGATTTCTCAAAATACTTTGTTGCATATATTTAAAAGCAGAATATAAATTATTTTGTTTTTGTAAATTAGGCATAGTCAGACTTCTGGCTGGGAGTTATAGCAGTTGTAGTCTACTTATCTATAAAGCTTCCAGCTGGATGAGGACATGTTTTAAAAAGTTTACTTTTTACTTGAGATGCAATATCTGCACATCTTACTTATTATTTCTCCTGTATTTATTGATTAATTTAGGAGCAAAAAAGACTCTTGGAATTGGGGATTATTGGTCCAGAGGGTCATGTCCTCAGTCACCCAGAAGAGGTAATATGAACTTGTCTTATATAAATATTTACCATTCCACAAAATTTACTTAATTAGCAAATGCTCACCCACAAATTTGTATAGGTTCATTTGCAAATTTCATAAGTTTCCAAGAAGGCTACAAAGACTCTTGGAATTGGGGATTATTGGTCCAGAGGGTCATGTCCTCAGTCACCCAGAAGAGGTAATATGAACTTGTCTTATATATCCATTTTGTTGGATATCTGTATGAGGATGTTATTTAGACAAGCCCTAACACACCGCAGCAACCCAGAACAACAGAAAAAGGAAATAATCTATACAACATATTCTAACCACATGGACTCAGCATAGCACACAAGCCAATTAAAGACCTTCAAAACATCCTAAGCAGACAAAAAGACCCAACAACCCCAGAAGAATAAACAGGAGTCATCGACACATATAATGTAAGGACTGCCAAAAACCACTCTGTAGGACAAACAGGCAGTAGACTAGTAGAACGCATCCATGATCACCAACTAGCAGTCAGAAGACATGAAAATCCTTTAATTTCACAACATATAGACAGATTTAACCATAGTTTCAATTGAGAAAATGGGACAATCCTAGACCAAGCCAAGTCCAAAAACGACAGGGAATTTCTAGAAGCCTGGGATTCTTTAACCACCAATAGACATTAACATCTATAGAACTATGCAGAAGAGACAATCAACCAGTCAAAAAGGGAACAAAAAGACTGAAGCACTTCTCTCCACCAGCAATCAGCACCCAGATCAGCATAGGTGAACTCCAGGATTAACATCAGACAACAATTAAGTAACCAATAACCTATGAAGAAACTGCCAAAGAAGCCAACATTAAACAGCCCAACCAAATTATCTCTAAGACCACCCCCACCAACACTGATAGGGCAAGCCACCAGAATATAAACTGGCAGCAAACACACTCCTTACTCGCACTCAGGATGTTATCTAGTTTGGGTAATGAAATGGCTGCAACAAAATAAGCAAGCCCAGAGAGCACCAAGGCCCCCTCAACTCAACCCTGAGCTACAAATATTCTCCTTTATTAGTTCACAACTTGTTAAAAAGGAAATGTCCCAAATGGCACTTAAGAAAAATACAGACAGTCCTCAGTTTATGACCGGTCTCTTAGTGACCATTCAAAGTTAGCACAGACCTCCCCAAGGCTACTTAAGACTCGGGTTCAAAGTTACAACTGTCCCTCTCCCCCCCCCCCCGGGTTGCCTAGTTGCATTTTGAGAACATGGCAACCAGCCCACATTTGCAGCCAATAGTAGCTTCCCTCAGTCACATGACTGCAATTTATGATATATATTTTTGTCAGAAATTGGCATTTACTTCCAGTTTTTCTGCAAAATATGCCCATTGTGGACAATGGATTCACTTAAGGACTGCAGCGATTCACTTAATGATTGCTGCAAAATAGGTCCTAAAATCAGGCATGTAACCTGCTTAACGTTAACCAGCATATCTTAACAACTGTAATTCTGGCCAAAATTATGGTTAGAAGTTGAGGATTACTTAATAATGAAAAGAAATCTGATTTAAACTTTTCTGAGTGGTAGTGATCCTAAGCCCGTTTTTTTTTTAAATAGTACTTGTATCTTGTATATGCAAATTTGCACTTCCCATTTTGCATTTTGAAATCATTAATGTGATTCACAATTTCTAAAATCAGAAATCATAACACTAAACTTTCCTATTTTTTTCTGGAACTGCCATTTTCCCATGAGTACAAATTAGAAGAAAAAGACTGGGTTCGAGCGATTCTTCAGATATGCAGGTCTAGATGGAAGAGTCACTTTGAAGAAAGTATCTGACTATTCATGTTTTCCAAGGTTGAAACAGAGGCGGTGTATCGTGCTATTACTATAGCGAAACAAGCCAATTGCCCCTTATATGTCACAAAGGTTATGAGCAAAGGCGCTGCAGATGTCATAGCACAAGCCAAAAGGAAAGGTAAGTACCATTTTGTATTTCCTTTTTGATGAGGATTTGAACCTTATTCCTATAATCGGGTAGTCAACCTTGGCTCTTTTATGACTCGTGGACTTCAACTCCCAGAATTCCTGAGCCATCTGTGCTGGCTCAGGAATTCTGGGAGTTGAAGTCCACGAGTCATAAAAGCCAAGGTTGACTAGCCCTGCTATACATCTTTGTGCTGGACATTGAGAGCCAGTTTGGTCTTTTGGTTAAGGCTCCAGGCTGGAAACCAGGAGACTGTGAGTTTTAGTCTCATCTTAAGCATGAAACCCAGCTGGGTGACTTTGGGCCAGTTAATCCACTCCGAGCTGAAGAAGCTTCTTGGATGAGAAGTGAAATGTCTTCAAAGAAAAACAAGAAAGTCCAGTTGCCTGATGGAAAAGCCTCTTTGGGAGTTTTAATTAATCTTAATTAAAACTAATTATTTTCCAGATGTTTGAAAACCATGGGTAATTTCCTATTATGTTAAGAGTTTTTGAATGGAAAAAGAGAGGATCCAGACTTCTTCCACATTTATAACAGGCGTAATTTTCCGGGAAATTAAGCAAAATTGCTAGCAGTGCATTTTGATTTTTCTTTTAGAACTGAAGTTGAAATTCTTTCATGCGTGCATCTTCATCAGTGGCAGGCCTTTTACATGCTAAGATGTTGTAGGCAAGATACTGTCAAATTGTCACTTTGTCTTTAGTCTCATTCCTATTCCAGAAGCCCTAAGGTCCAGAAATGTCAGCTATTTTTTAAAACACAGGCATACATTCTCTACCTGAAAAGCTCTACACTTTTATGAATAGATTTGCCTCTAGTGATTTGCTAATTTGGTTATTGTCCATTCGAGAAGTTGTCGTTCACTTACAATCGGACTTGACTCTCACAGGATTTTTGTTAGTGTGTGTTCTTTTTTCCTGGCACATGTTTTCAAGGCTTTAGACTGAAATATACATATATATATATATATATATATATATATATATATATATATATATATATATATATATATATATATATATATATATACACACACACATACAGACTCAGCGGGTTTCTTCCATAAATATGCTTCTTTTTTCCATGAAGTATGCAAAGAGGGCAAGAGTTGTGTAAATAAAAAAAAAACAGGAGCAGTCTCTCTTTCCGTCAAATGTCCAGCACTAGTTGAAGACTATCTAGCTGGGAGAGACTTCATCCTGTTTGTCCCCAGGAATGACCAACCACAATTATGTCTTTAGGCACCATTGTATATGGAGAGCCCATTACAGCAAGTCTTGGTACTGATGGCTCACATTACTGGAGTAAGAATTGGGCAAAAGCGGCAGCATTTGTCACATCTCCACCTATCAGTCCAGACCCCACAACTCCTGACTATCTCACTTCACTCTTAGCCTGGTAAGTCGTTTTCTCAATCTGCCAAACAAAAGGGAATTTTAATGGGAAGAAGTAATATAGGGGTTTCAAACATTTTCTAAAATGGAGGAAACATTTGAAATCCTGCCAATTCCATGCCAAATTGTGATCTAGTGAGATTGCTCTGTACCACTTGCCTAGATTCTTCTACCTCAGCTTCATTTTTTTTTCTGGGTAGTTGTGAAGGTATCAAAAGTATTGAACTTCATCTACTTTTCATTTTACTTAAAAAAAAATACTTTGGGGCCTCAAACATTCTGAGAAATAAATAAATGATGTTCAAAGCTGGTGTTTATTGGCAGAATATCAACTTAATCACTTTTTTTTTAACTAAGAAAAATTATTTTGAAAAATATCAGATGGATCAGGAAGCCTCTCCCAAGAGATATCTCAATGGGCACAATGGAGAACAGGAAAATTGTGTAATAGGATCTCAAGAATCGCTCTTGGGATCTAGCTATTAGCCACCGATTGGCAGGCTTTTACCATAGTCCTCAAGAAGACGTGATATTCTTTGGTGTGTCCATAGCTTTGAAATCTGGTATATTGTATTATTGCAAAGAGGGACAATTATTAAAGTATAAGGTTATCAATAAGAACCACTCATCAAAGCCTGTTTTCATTGTACAGTCCTCTCTGTAACTTCCCTGGCTTCCTTCCCTTAATTAAATCCAAGAGAAGATAACAGGAGGGAAGTTTTCCACTCTACTTATTTGCACCAGGAATTGCAGAGAGCTAGGAAAGCTGTAGAGCAGTGAAAAGATAAGGATTTTACCACCTTTCAACTATGAAGTTCAAATGAACCAACAGAATAAATTATATTGCACTCTTAAGAATTAAACAAGAAAACTTGTGTTCCTTTGCTTTTTACCAATGAGACCTCAAATCCATCTTCAGAAGTGCCGTAGATGTTGAGTGCCATGGGGCCTCTGTTTTTGTGTACTGATTTGACATTTGTTTTAACTAGTGGGGATCTGCAAGTGGTGGGCAGCGCTCACTGTGCCTTCACCACGGCGCAGAAGGCTGTTGGAAAGGATAACTTCGCTCTGATTCCAGAAGGAACAAATGGCATTGAAGAACGAATGTCAGTAATTTGGGAAAAATGCGTGGTAAGTTGAGAGGAAGATGTTTGTTACAAAATAGTGAAGATTTTGGTTATAACTTCATCATTTGCTGTTGACCGTGTAGGACAGGGGTAGGCAACCTTGGCTCTTTTATGACTCGTGGACTTCAACTCCCAGAATTCCTGAGCCAGCTGTGCTGGCTCAGGAATTCTGGGAGTTGAAGTCCACGAGTCATAAAAGAGCCAAGGTTGCCTACCCCTGGTATAGGAGTTTTCAAACTTTAATCTTTCATGACATAAGATTGTAGGGCAAATTCAAGGATGCACATTCAATTTACAGGTACAAGTCCTTAACTTACAGCCGTTTGTTTAGTGACCGTTCAAAGTTACAACGTCACTGAAAAAAGTTACAACCATTTTTCACACATAACAATTGTTGCAACATCTTCGTAATCACATGATCAAAATTCAGACTCTTGGCAACTGGCATATATTTATGACGGTTGCAGTGTCCCGTGGGTCATGTGATCTCCTTTTGTGACCTTCTGACAAGCAAAGCCAACTAGGAAGCCAGATCCACTTAACAAATGAGTGTTATTAATTCAACAACTGCAGCGATTCTCTTGACAATTGTGACAAGAAAGATGGTAAAATGGGGCGAAACACAACTTGCCTTGTTTAGCAACAGAAATGTTAGGCTCGGTTGTGGTTGTAGAAGATAGTCTGTGAGGCCTTTGGTTGCCATTAGCGTACCACTTGAATTAAAAAGCTTAGTCCCAAAATAAGTTCAATATCCCTCAGAACTGAAGGGAAGAGGATTGTATTTTAGGGAAGCTTAACTGCTGCTTCTGAACATCTTACCGAAGTATCATAGGGTACACAATATGTTCTAATGAGTTGCTTTGTAGCAGATTGTAAATCGGGGAATGGGTCAAGGCCAAAATTCATTTCGACTAGGAAAGGGGTGAAAATAGTAAGGTCTTCATGATTGCACGCAAAGGAAAATGGGTGCACATAATGAAATAAATGCACTTGTCTCACAGCCTTAACTTCATGCTGATGTTATGCATGGGGCTGAGATGTTATGCTCCCAGTGTGGGAAATCAGCCTCCAATGTAGGCTGTGAAATTGATGTAATTTTTTTCTTGATCTTCTGCCTCTCTGCTGTAGCCTCTGCATTCCCTGGTCTAGCATTGGTTCAGGTGGCAATTATGCTGATTCCTAACAAAGGCATCAAGGGCTGCATGGTGACTCAGAGGTTAAGAGGTTAAGGTGCTGGGCTTGTTGGCTGGAAAACCAGACGCCCAGCCTTGAGACCTGAGCTCCATGCCCAGCTCCTGCTAGTCTAGCACTTTGGAAACATGCAAAGGCAAGTAGATAACTAGGTACCAACTTGGTGGGAAGGTAACAGCGCTTTGTGACTTCATGTTGGCCACGTGAACCCAGAAATGTTTTTGGACTGCGCTGGTTCAATAGCCTTGAAATGGAAATGAGCACCAGGCCCTGTAGTTGGCAACGACCGGCCAAATAAAATCCGCGGGGACTCCTTTATACCTTTTTTTAAAAAAAATAAAAGCATCAGTCAAAATATGTACATTTTGAATGATGGTGGAAGGAAGTTTGTTGTTATGAGACAAGCTCCAACGTCCCATGTCTTTAAAAGAGGCCAGAAAATAATGCCATCTCCAAATTCCCCATATCCCAACCTTCTCTCTTAGCTCATCAGAAGGATTCACTTGGCTCAAATCAAACCTCACATGACTTGGAATTAGCAGCGAGGTAGATCATTGTATCTAGAGGCTCTATGTAGAGCAGGTGTGTTCCAACCCATCGGCTGAGGGCTGCATGCAGCCACCCAAGATTGTAAGGTTTTAACATAATTATGCAATTCATATACATTAACTGTATTATAACTTTTATATGTGGCCCAAGACAGTTCCTCTTTACTCTGTGCAGCTTAGGCAAGCCAAAAGATTGGATAGCTGAGATCTACAGTAGAGGCTCTAGAACAGCAGTTCTCAACCTATGGGTCGCGACCCCATTTGGGGTCGAATGACCATTTCACGGGGGTTGCCAAACAATGCAGTCCACCATTTTTTCCCCTTTTCCTTAGCTGTGCTACTCCCTTTTATTCTATTGGCTTTTGAAAGCCAATAGAATAGACTCTCTTGAATAGAGGCTAATTCTATCGGCTTTCAAAAGCCAATAGGAATTGTCCAGGTTGTCTCTGCCCTGCTGAGCCCGCCAAAAGTCCCATTCTGCAAGCGGTGCTGCAAGCTGTCTGCAGCGAAGGCGAGCTGTCTGGAAGTTTCCACCCCTCCCTGCTGAGCAACTACTAAAAATGTAAGTAAAAGAGGGCCAGGGGTGGGAGGTGGGAGGCCGGTGGGTGCAGGGAGGGTTGGTGGCGCGCGTGGGGCCCAGCGGGTGCCTTACCTCCCTTGGGCTGGGCCAGCTGGTGGCCCAGCCGGTGGTCAGCCTGCTCCGTCTCTGCTGCTTGCCAGCTATGCCTCGGTCGGCGCAGGGGGCGGCACTACGCATGTGCGGCGCTCCCGGGTAGGGAAATTCCTCGACTTACAACCGGTTGGGTAGTCTTCGACTTAACTACCGGTTGGGTAGTCCTCAGCTTACTACCGGTTGGGTAGTCCCCAGCTTACGACCGGTTGGGGGTCGCGGCATTAAAAAGGTTGAGAACCACTGCTCTAGAACTAGTCTTTCATCCTGGCCTGTTTATCTTAGATGTTTCTGAAAGGTTTCCCATTAAGTGTATTACTAGCAGCTCTCCTCTTCCTTGTTGCTTACAGTAGTATGTGGCGTTCTGAAATAATTTATTTACTCTATGAACATGTAGTCAAATTTTTTAAAAAGATGCCATTTATTTGGGATAAATTTGAAAGGGAAATCATGGAATGTGTGGATTTTATTTCATGAATTCATAAAATATATATATTATTTTTACAGTAATTTCAAATTATTATTTTTCCCACCTCATATTTTTTTCTCCAACCTCTCCCTCCCTCCCTCCCTCCCTTCCTTCCTTCAAACACACACACACACACTCATTTCTAGGCAGCAGGGAAGATGGATGAAAATGAATTTGTAGCAGTGACCAGTACTAATTCAGCCAAGATTTTCAACTTCTATCCCAGGAAGGGGCGTATTGCTGTGGCATCAGACGCTGATCTGGTTATTTGGAATCCTAAAGCTACAAAGATCATTTCTGCAAAAACTCACAACTCGGTAAAAGCAAACAATAATTACAAGTTTTATTTTTCATTGAATTAGACGTTCCATACTTTTTATTAGTCATTATTGTGATCTAAATGAGCTTGTTAGTTTTCCTAACATTTTCTCCATCAGTTAGCTGTGACAGTGTTGATACTACATACAAATTACAGGGTATGAATTACAACCTTAATCTACAGTCGAAATGAGCATCTTTAACTTTAATTGCATTATACCTGTTCATGAGAGACGTTTTTTTTTTTTTTTTATTCATAGCTGCGTGCCCGCTTCTTAATATTTTGTTACCTGAGTCAGTTTGGGAAAGGTTGGGTAGAAACGGTAGAAATTATAGTTTCAATCTCATTGTTGAATTTCAGAAGGTACATAATCCAGATATAGCACAATGATGCATCTAGCTCAGTCCTGTCTCAATTAACTGGAAGTTCTCGGGACTTCCTTTGTAGTGCAAGGATTTAATCTTTGTGTGTCAGAACATGGTCCTTTTACACAGTCACATCCCTTCCCCACTGCTCTTCCACTGAGCAACAGGCTTCTCAAAGGAGCATCTGACTAGGGTTTGGCCAAAAGAAGTACAAAGCTGCAGCAGGACATTCTGGGAGGGCAACTTTAGGCTACGGGGAGACTTGATTCAACGCTTATTAAAAATTCTATCTCTGTGAGGATATTAATATAAATTCAGTTCTAACAGGTTAGAAAGTAAAGATAAATAAACCAAGCTGTGGCCTGTTCATGAGTCAGATTGCCATTATTTGAAGGGAATGTGGCATTGAGTGTGATTTCTCATATATTTGATGGCTTAAAAGGATCTTCATCTGGATTATAATATATATTAATTCATCTGAGTCCCCTTTTCTGTGATTGGGAACCCTGCCTTGTCAAGGGAGATGATACGATGTTGAGATGTTTACATTTATCTGTGGTTATAAATTCTGTATCTGGAATTGGGGCTTTCAGTCATTTTCTTTGTTCTATCAAGTTTCTCATGTTTTCAAAAGCTATATAAAAGAGCTTTTACAAACAAATACTGTAAATGCCGGCGTATAAGACGACTTCCGCGAGCACTGAAATCGGCGCCAAAGACGGGGGTCGTCTTATATGCCGAGTCGTCTTATACACCGGAAATACTGGTAGTTTCCGGCGTATAAGACGATGTTCTAGGAATGCGGCCCGGCTATAAAGACGGGGTTCGTCTTATACGCCGGGTCGCCTAATACACCGGCATATATGGTACTTTGTTGGGAAATGCATAAACTGAGCAATTAATATACATCATCCTTGAATTATATGAATGATACATGAATTTTGCTGCAGCTTATATGTACAGACTAATTCTCTCATATTGGTCCAGCATCATGCATAAGCCTAACATAAAAGATTGGCTAATGTGTATGTTCTACATACAGCTTAAAATGACATATATTCATAATATTACTTGGTGAATATCATATTACAAGGTTATATGTACCTTTCCATCCCTGAGTGTATAGTTTTCCTACTTTTGTTTGAACAATGTGCATGGACATTGGTTCATTGAGTCCTGGGATTTTGCTTGAATATTAAGCTGAGTCTGTAATATTTTGTTTTGCCAGAATGTGGAATACAACATATTTGAAGGAACTGAGTGTCATGGTGTCCCTACAGTGGTTATAAGTCAAGGGAAGGTTGTATTGGAAGATGGAAACCTCTGTGTCACTCCAGGTGTTGGCCGTTTCGTTCCTCGAAAGACATTTCCTGATTTTGTTTACAAAAGAATAAAAGCCCGGAATAGGGTGAGATTTTTTTCTGTATGTGAAATCTACTTCATTGTTGCAACATCAAAAGTGCAGGACAACAGCTAAGAACAGAACAGGGAAAATCAGAAACATGGTGTTCAATTAAGGTTTTAAGAATAATTGGATTTCCTTCAGATACGTCTAGATTTTCTATTTTTTGAAAAAGAAGTCATGCTTACATTGTGAAGTAGGTTAGGCAAAGATGGCCAGGTTCATACAGTATGAACCTAAGACATTCTATAGTTTGCCAGCACTCTGCAACACATTAAGACAAAATGAAGCAGGTACATTATCATTTAGTATACAATGCAAGCTAAGAGAACCAAGCTGACAGCTGGTTAAAGGTCATTGAGCTTCACAGTTAAGCAAATATTTGAATGTAGGATTCTCTTTCCATGTTTGCCATTACCAGTCTTGAGCTCATGCATCCTCACAATTATGTTTTCAGTTTTTAAGTTTGTAATGAGTAGAAATCTGAATCTGCAGAATATGACCTGTACATTTGTACAATATACTTGATTAATAGTATGTGAGAGTGTTTATGCATTTGCATAGCATCCCAGAAGACAGTTGCAGATCACTTCTATATTGTAGCCAGGAAAATTAAATCAAGCTTGATTTTTAATCCTTGATTTTTAATCATAAAGTTGTCCATGGAATTCTGGCAAAACCCTGTTCTATAATAATTCTCCCTTTTATTGTATGCTTATAGCTGGCTGAAATCCACGGGGTACCTCGTGGACTTTATGATGGACCTGTTCATGATGTCATAGTAACTGCTAAAGCTGTTGCTCCAGCTCCTACCTCAAGGATAGCTACTTGCTCAGGCAAAATACAGGTTCCACCAATCCGCAACCTTCATCAGTCAGGCTTCAGTCTGTCTGGTAAGTCAAGTTGTAAAGAAAAAAAAATTGAAGTGATAACAGAATTATCAAAATAAAAGCTTACTATTATCTTTTAGATCATCAATTGGTAAGCAGTGCCTGACTTAACCATTATACAGCTCTTAGGAACTTTTCAGCACTTTATATGTGGTGATAATATAGTATGCTAAATATATATTAAGGAAAGCTGGATTGAAAGAAGATGAGCATGGTTTTAAAATTGGAGGAGTGAAATTAAATATAAAGAGGACCAAACTAATCACAACAGGTACAAAAAAATTGAAATAAAAATATCAAAGCGGTAGATGGCTTCCACCTTTTGAGCAGCGTGGTGGCACAGAGGTGGAGTTTTTGCCTCATAATCAGGAGGCTGTGAGTTCGATTCTACGTAGCGGCAGATATTTTTCTCTCTGGGCACAAAGGAAAAATATCTGCTGTGAGCTCCACAAAGAGATCAGGAAGGGCATCCGGCCAGTAAATACTCAGCTCCATTCAGTTGCCCCAACTCCACTCCGATGCAATGGATTATAGGGTCATTAAAAGAAAAAAAAAAGATAGCTTCTGCCTTTTAGTAACAATCATCAACATTATTGCAAAGGAACAAGCAGTTGAGAAAAATACTACAGACTAACATCTAGTAAAGCAGTCATGAAAGCCTTGGCGAGTTATTCAAATGCCATGATGAGCCTATGGACTTTAAAGAGCCTAGATAGAAAGAGTATTGATGCTTTTGAACAATGGTGCTGGAGAAGACTCATGAGAATACCATGGACAGCCAAGAATGTAGTGATGATAAAGATGATGATACTCATTCAGTAGGCTACTTTACTGTCAACTCACATGTAATATGCCAGTAGTTTCATTTTTTGATACTAAATACTTAAATGCTTAGCTGCTAAGCATTTGAGAGTCCCTTAGTGTCTATTCCAGCTAGTTAAGCATTTTTCATTTTCATTTTTTATTAATTTCAGTTATGGAAGTTAAGCACAATCATAAATCCTTTCTACGAAATTAATGAATAGAAAATTCCTCCCTTTTAGTTCCTCATATTTGATTAAAAGACTGGGAGTTAAAGTTTTTTGTTTTTTTTAGCATTCCTTTACATGTGAATATGAAGACCTAGTTTCCAAAATATCTTTTCACATGAATTTGGCAAATTTCAGCCTTAATGTATTCAAATTTCCTTTGTCAGCATAAATATGTTTGGTAGAATAATTCTACAAAGTCTAATCAGAAAAAAATTACATCTGGCTAAATAGGGCTTATTTTGGGGGAAATTATATATCATATAGTTATAGTAGATATGGTTTTACACAGAGAGAGAGAGAGAGAGAGAGAATGAGAATAAAATTGCAGACCCAATTAACTTTTAATTATCACCCATGCAATTGCAACTATACAACTATATATACTGTATGATCAAATACATGTTTTCATTTACTTATACGTAGAAAGTCTATTTTATATCTCTTCTAGGATCTCAAGCAGATGACCATATTGCAAGGCGTACTGCGCAGAAAATTATCGCCCCTCCAGGTGGACGCTCCAATATTACATCTCTGTCATAATAATTTCCGGCTGAAAATACCTGCATATAACCTTAATTATAACTGGCCATGCCCAGCCGCTATTAAAACCCATGGCCTAAATTTCCCACTGGTATCAATGGATCTTAAAACAACTTCTCTATGGCCTTGATTTCCATTAGGATAGATGAATTATGCAGGTGCATTTAACATTCTTTTTAAGTTACTTACAATTATGAAAAGAATCTGCCTTGTCTACACTCCCCAAGCACCTCTTTTTACTGGAAGTATTTGGAAAATAGATTATTTTACACTGCCAAATTAAAGTGCTTGAATGGGAGTCTATAACAAAGAAATATGAAAATGATTTACCTTCTAACTCAGGATAAAATTTCCCACTTTTTTTTTCTAAGTCAAAACAGTAAATATACCCTTTCCCAATGTATAGATTTAATTACATATAGTAAATGTCTTCCCTGTTTTCCCCTAAATCTTCATAAACATGCCTGCAATTGTACAGATTTCTAATGAAAAACTTTGTGAAATGCTAGTTGGAGATTAGGTTATATCCAAGAAATACCTGAATACGTGTTTTTGATGTTCTACCAATAATTTATGCCTTTTGTCTGGGAATGACTCCTGTACTATTTTAATACAACTTATTTCTATTCCCCCGCCCTTTTTTTTACTGAAAACAACCTACACACATAAGGCCAAATGCTTATCTATCTTGTTCTTCTGTACGCATAATGGTAAGCCTTAAATTGTTTTCTTTTACCATGGTGAAGTATTACATTTGAATACCTAAAGAAGTGGAATAGTTTGTTTGTTTGTTTTTTCAGAAGAGCATGTCAGGTGCCACAGTCCCCCAAAATTGTGAAGCCATTGCAAAAACTGCAACTGATTTCATTTCATTTGCACTTTCATTTAATTGAATGATTGCTGGTAATTGAGAAATTCTCCAATAGCTGCCCTAAAAACTTCTATGGAGTTTTGTGTCGATGGAAGCCATAGACATTTGCTAGGGAAAAAGACAAGAGATGAAACATGCATCCAATGTTGCAATGCAATTGCAAAAGTGCAGACCTAAGTGCTGCACATATTGTCATTGACATTGTATGTGGGTGTGGAAAGTACATGTGGGCCTAACAAAGTATACTTCTGACCTAGATCATGGCTAATGATTGATGTCAAAATGAGGAGAGCACAATTGGAAATAGGTTTACAAAGTTAGTTTAAATTTACAATTAATAATTTAATCCCAAATAAACCATGGATAATAAAACATTCTTCCCCTTCTACCAGTCTTGCTTATAATGTGACAGGTAGATTTCATTCAGTTACATTTCTGCTTTTGCCTTGAGTGTGCTTAGGACAGCTATGGTTTTGTTGTATTTTTGGAATCTTCATTAAGGTTAAGGCTATGAACTATGGCTGGAACTAATCATGGTTTCATGTAAGGTCTCAAAGTCGTTCCCAATATTTTTTTGATCCTGCCAGATGATGAAGAGCTACTTCACCAAATAGAGTGTATCAGAATTATTGCCCTGAAGTTGATTGTTGCAATTTACCAGTAAGCATTTATCAAGCCAGAAAGGGCTTATGATTTAGTATATCTATAAATCAGTAGGAGATTCTTGAACATATTGTTAGGAAACATTGTCACTCAGTATTGTGGCAGCATGGATATATTAAATACAAATGTGCTCTGAATATTGATGGAAGTAGGTGTCATAGTGTCTCTTTAGAGCTGGTATATAAATGCTAGTCTTTAAAGATAGCAGAATTTTTTAACACAATTGTGGAGGTGCCAGTGTGTTTTTAGTCTTTGGTTAGTCTTGAATTTTTAAAGCAAATTATTTATATACTTTTTTATTTATAAGTGTAGACCTTATAAATAAAAAAGCACGTTTATGGAGGTCAGCTGCATACAGTTAACTTTTTATAAGACTTAAAGACAGGCTTATTATATTTAAAACACTGTACAGCAAATATGATCTTATATATTCCATATTATCCCATAAAATGATGGCTGTGACTCATTTTGCCTTTGTTATTTACATTCAATAAAATTCTTGAAAATTAGCAAAATTTCAAAGTCAGTTCCTGATCTCTGTTTTAACATGCATGATACCAATTTGATGATTACTGCTTACAAAAACTTTGGCAATACTATATTCTTTGAAATATATTTATTTATTTAACACCAAAAGCAGCGAGCTAAGCCACCTTTACCTGTGAGACGTATCCATTCTCCCATGGCTGTCTAAGCCACCCCAAACACAACATGTGTTTCAGTAGACAATGAAGCAGAAATGTCCATGAGGTGTCAACAGCGTGAATCTGATGGATGTTATCGGCCAGAGGTAGCCTCAATCCTTTTTTCTCATGTGCAGTGCTTGCAATACTTACTAAAAAGAGGCAAGACTTTGCCCATTCATTCCTGCTATTTTGATGCTGTTATTCCCGACTGCAGAAACCCTGCAGTGGCATAAGTAGTGTTGATAATATGAACATAGCTTATGGCATGGAGTGGTGTTGTAAAAAGTATTGTCAATTTTATTACAGTCACAGACCAGCAAATAAAAGCATTAAAACAACAATAATAGTAAAAAAAAATAAGAGTAATATATTGTGATTGGTTGTGGATTAACAGTGGGCAGTTAAAGTTTGCCTAATTTTACATACAGCATAGCAGAATTTGGCCCCATTCAGAGAAACCACAACAATTCATTTAGTGGCCTAAGTTACAACGGCAATTTATGACCTTCCTCTCCTGACTGGTTTTGGGGAGGGATTTTCTTCATGTTAAATGGGGTGCATTTCTGTTCTTTATAAAGGGAAATAAAACAATACAAGTTTGGAAACCCAAGTCCCATTCCTGCCCCTTTTCTCAGTGGGAGTTTATAGGTCATTTTCTCAGATTTTCTTCCATCCAATGGTGAGATGCCATATTCCAGCAAAATAGCATAATTTAGATGTTAAGCCTTTTATTGATTTAAGGGTACATTAAATATGTATGTAATTGAATTGTTTCTCATTCTTTTACTCAAAGGTGCCCGGTGTGGCTAGCAAGAATGCAAATACCAGAAAGAGTTCAAATGAACTATAAACAGTTAAAGAATGAAATTAAAAATGCTATTAGCATTAATTAAGTAAAAGAAGGGCTGTGCTGAACAGATTTTTAAAATGTAAAAAGCATTGAGTGTAACTTCTGAGGAACTAAATCCCATTGCTCAGGAACGACCTAAATATTTATGCAAATATAATATAATTGTGCCAAGAGAGCAAACAAATTTGCCTTCTAATCTTTCCTGAAGCACAAAGTCAGCTATGTGATCTGTGCCGGTTGCTTTCTCAGCCCTAGGAAGGATGCAGTGGCAAACCACTTCTGAAAGTCTTGCCAAGAAAACTGCAGGGACTATTCTAGGCAATTGCATGAGTCAAATTTGACTTAAGCACAAGAGAACCCACAATAACCATACTGTCAAAAATAAACTAGTGTATAACAAATATTGGAAGGAAAAACAATCTTCAACCTTGGGTCCTTGAATGTTGTTTGCTAAGCACGTTATTAAGAAATGCCAGCTAGAAATAAATTTTGTTTTTGTTTTGTTCTGTATTGTATTTTTATTGTGAACTGCCCAGAATCAATTTGGAATCAGGTAGTACCTACATTAAAAAAAGAAGCCATATATAGCTCTTGCAGAACAATCAATACAACAAAAAGTTATCCCACAAGTGCCTTTTCTAAAACCTAGATGGACTTCCTTGTGGTTTTTTTTTTTTTTTTTTTGCTTTGAAAACATTTTGCTTCTCATCCAAGAAGCTTCTTCAATTTATCCTTTTGGAAAAAGCACCCTTGGGGCAACCATGATCTGGATGATTGAGATGTCCATAGACTATTAAAAGTTTTCCCTAAATGCAGCTGGTGGAATCAATTTTTTATCTCCTAATGAAGACTCCCTTACTGTACATCCTCCAACTCTGAACTGGGGAATTGTGAAACCTAGAGTAGATTTCGGGTTCACTTTTGGGAAACATGGGGAGGGCCTAAGTGGAAGATCTGTGAATAGTAGTATATCTATGTGATACTAGATCAAACTAATAAGTCTCCATCTATGCAGTCCTTTGTCTTTTCTCCTTAACTGTAAAATCCTACGAATAGCTTAATTTGTGAAGATAACACTCTTTGGCCCTAAATATTCTGTACATATCACACAGCTTTATTTCCAGCATATACATGGATGTTCTGTATCTATAAATACTGCCTGAAGCAATCACATTTAAATGAATTGCCCCAATTAACTGTAGAATTTAAGTAAATTGGAAGTTTATTAATCCAACCATCTCATCACATAGAAAAAGAACACTGAAAAGCTAGGAAATAATAAAATGGAATTTAGGTCATTTTTACCATCTAAGGAAGCTGATAGGGAGAATCAATTTTACTTGTATGTAGTATGTAGGTTGCTATTCTGGGTCCCAAAAATTATTCAGATAAATTACATTAAAAGAAATCATACACCTCTAACATTAATTTTCAAAGACAAGACTACTTCCTCTCCACTTCTCCCTTCAAGTATTTCTGTTTTGACACATATTTCAAACTTGATTCTTTATATAATAAGGTTAATAGTTCATATGATTTAGATTTCCTGCACTAGCTATATATTTAGCCTACAAATGGCCTCAGTGCCAAATAATATGAAGTAATTCTTTGTGTTTGAAAAAGTGGGAATTTTTTTTTTATGCTTACCACCTGTATCACCGAATCTTGCAAGTACCGTAGCATAATAGTAGAGCATGAATTAGTAATATAAAGACATTATATTAATAAATAATATGGGACTTTGTAAGGCTGCAAAGGACATGCTGCCAATTATTTGCACATTCATCTAGCTCACCATTGCTACAGCTCAGCACAAGTTGCTACTTAAATGAGACAGAAGTGTTGCTTGCAGGGATTCTCTCAAAACATTCATTTTCTGATTTGAAATGGCATCTAGAATTGAAGTCTAAAAATAGGTCAAAAGATGCGTGCATGGGTGTTTCCGGTTTGCATAGTCTGATTCAAAAGAAATTTCCAGCAGCTGGAATCAGTCTCGACCTGATCTTACAAAATATGTTTTTGAAGGCTAATAATTAAATTTACAGAGGGAGGAAGCTAAGTCTTCAGTGACTAAAATATTGCAGGCTCTGGATGGGCGAACCCTGTTGTATTTCACTGTATCATTTCAAAGAATAAAGAGATACTCCCCTAGTTGTAGAATAAATGTTAATTTTAGAAATGATATCATTTTTAATGATGAGCACCTTGATGGCAATCAAGAATAAGCATCACTCGTACTGGTACTCAAAGGAACATTCTGATTCTGCTTTTTGTGTGGCATTCACCTATTTAGCTTGTTAGTTTTTGTACAATATCTTAGTCTCATGAAATACTCAGTCTCATAATAACAGGTGACTTTACTACATCTAGAAATAAGGCTCCTGCGCTGGGCTTGCATGTCATATATGCAAGAAAGAGGCGCTGATTGGTTTTGGCAGACAATTTTGAAGGTTTATGGTAATCCATAATTTGACTTGTAGACTATACGGCATACTTGGACTTCACAAGCAGAAATACTGCTTTTCATTTCAGTATTTGCATATCCCTTGAGAATGAGGTTCATTGTTCCCATTTCAAAACAAGCCCAACTCAAGATATTTTGTTAGTCCTAGGGGAAATTTAAAAAAAACCCTTTCCCCATTTTTTTTTCTTGATGCTCAATAACATGACACTGGAAGGGAAACACAATAATTTTCTTCCATTTTTAATATTTTAGTGCAGCTCTTACTTAGTGTCTATGATTCCCTATTGTATCATAGTTCTAAAGGAGAAAGAAATAGGGACAGAAAACCTTTGAGTAGAGGGCGGAATCTTGAAAGAAAAACACCAGTCAGAATACTACGTCCTCAACTTATGACCAGAGCAACAAGGACTGGAAAAATTCATTGTTAAGAGTTAACAATGACATTTCATGACATTTTTGTGGCATTCATTAATTAAATCGCCCAAGGTTGTTAAGTGAGATATCTTGTGACTGACTTGGGACCTCTGTCTGGCTTCTCCATTAATTTCGCTCATCAGAAAGCAGTTGGGAAGGTTTTGTGGGAAGAATCCAGAGAAAGAAATATTTTGGGAAATATTAAAAAGACAGAATATATTTCCCCAAAGCATTTTAAAGGCAGAAACCAGCCACCACCACCCCAGGTCTCTCTGCCCCAAACAGAAACCAGGTCTGCAAAAGTGCAGATGTGATAATCGTGTCAAAAATATTGGAGCAAGGAAGCTTGGATTAGAAAGAAAGATCCCTAGAATCAACAATCCCTCACACCAAAAAAAATCCAACAGTCATCAGCCACAGCCACAGGGAAGCAGGATATGACCTTTGGGACATAATAGGATTAACCCACCAGTACCAATAGGACGCACTCAGACTCCGGTCAAAGTACATGACACAGGAAATACAAAGCTTCAAACTGGAACAGGAAAGAACCTCAAGAGCCCCAGAAGGTATAAAAACCCACCACTCCCTGCTACATGTGGTCAGTTTTCCCAGCGCCATCTTTCTGTCTGGCTCTCCTCTTCAATACAACCTTCTTTCTAAAGCAGTCTCCATTTTGTTTATTCCTGGCTTGGACTGGACCCTGATGAAGATTTTTCTTTCAGTAGTTGCAAATGGTGATAGGATGACCACAGGGATGCTGCAATAGTCATAAATGGAAGGACCAATCATGGATTTCTTTTTTCAATACTATTGAATACTGTTTGCTGCTAAATGAATACCTGGGCTGGTATTTGTTTTTATAGAGAATCATAGAATGTAAGGGCTGGAAAGGATCTTGGGGTTCATCTAGTTAAACCTTCCACCCAGTGCTGGAATCCATTGCTACAGCATTCCCAACAAATGCCATCCAGCCTCTGGTTGAACGTATCCAACAGATATGTTGTATATCCAAGGATATCTCTTTGTCGAACCATTTTTACCATTAGGAAATTTTTCTTGGGGTCCAATTGATTTCTTGCAATTTAAACCCAT